CCCCCCCCCCCCCCACATTGTCCCCACTAAACAAGAGATGCTATAGTTAACTGGCTTCCTCCAATGGTGGAATGTAAATCAGATCTGTTTAGCTAACTGTTCAGCTGAGTTATGGCATATACAGAAACAGCAGCAATATGGTTCAGACAACATTTAGCTCTTCTATGTAAACCAAAACCTAAAAAGGCATAGGACTGAATATTTACCACTAAGGGAATCTTCTTGCAATCAGTATGTATACTTACTCATTTAGCAGGGCCTTGAGATGAAGCTGCAAACTGCGCACTGCTATATGAAGGCTGTTCAGCTCTCTTGACTTTTGTTTCCTTTTGGTTGAACGTTCCAATCCAGACTGATGTTGTGTTTCAAAGTACCGATAAAATTCATAGCTTCGTTTAAGCTCTTCTAAGCAGGCAGCATGAGTGTGAGGTAGACCTTGAGTCACGTCAGACAAAATATGATGAGGCAAACGTTCTGGGGTGATCAAGGGCTTAGGGGATGCATTAGTTGAAGACAGCAGCAGTACTAGCCGTCTGAAGAATTCTGAACTCTGTCCTACCCAGAGCTGAAACAGAACCTACAAGATATTGAAAGGTTAGCACTGTGTGCCTGAAAAGCACAGCCTACCTCCAAAATATACATGCACATACTGCAATCCAACTTCACAGCACAACACAAGAATCATGAAAAATTAAGAACATATGCAGAACATCTTTTAAGAATATCACAGATCACATTAGTTTATATCTTGCACACTTTATATGACTGTCAAGTCTTTCACAGAGGGTCTTATGTTACTAATTATGCACAAAAGGCTCTTCGAGGTCCTGGGTACCACATCTACCCTTTGGAAGAGATCACTTTTGTTCATCTGCAAGTCTGAGTAGATACTAGTACAGTTTCTGTCTACCTTAGGGCACTAAAATAGCTGAAGCTTCCAATAGCAGGACACTTTTTGAGTGACTTCACTCAAAATGTCAAACTATCATTTATAGAGCTTAAGTTTCTGACTGGCATACCTCTCCCCTATCTTGAAATACAAATCCATTGGCACTTTTTAAAATAAAAAAATTACTCAAGGTGCTAAGAAACATGAACTGCTGACTCACTTGTACCAAAATGAGTAACTTCACAAATACCATTAAAAAAGAAAATTATACAGATTTATAAAAACAGAATCTTTTTAAACCCTCTACTTATGGTACAAGAAAGATCTGGTAGTGATTAAACCTGTAGGGTTACTCTGGAACTTAAACTTCAGCTATAAAGCTGAAGTTTGCTATGCTCTGTTGTACTCCTATTTATAAGAAGCAGGGATCCAGGTTTTCCCTGTGCCATGGAAAAAAATGGTAAAACTTGGATTTTCTCATTTTAAGGAGCTGGATGGGGGCAGGGGGAGCTCTGATTTTCCATGATAAAAAGCCCAAAATTAAAATAACAAAATTTATAGGTATTTAGAATGTGTTTTATTATAGTGATTGGGGCACTGGTAGGCTTCCAAATTGCTTTAAAATTGTAAATATATCAATAAAACATTGTGTTCAACTGATACCTACATATATAGTGGTGTTTCATTTTAATCATGGAAAAATGCAAATTTGCCATTTTATTTTTTTATTTTTTACATTCAGAACATTTGCAATTTTTAAACAGAGAAAACCAGGATCCCTGAAGGGGAACAGCTTAAAGTACACCAAGAGCAGATAACATGATTTTACAGAAAATGCTAATGGAGACCTCACATTTTGTTAACTACCTTGATGAAAAAGATATCTTTTTTCTTAGTTTAGACAAAGCGTGTTGTGATGTCTCAGAAATCTGAAGCAGAACAGTAGTAACTTTCCCAATAGAGTCCTACCTCTCTTTAAAAGAAATAAAATGTATTTTTTCCAATGACAGCAGTCTCTACTCAAAAAGAGAGAAAAATTGGTCTAGTAAGGGTTGTGGGCAGAGATCTATACCCAAGTACCACAGACTGATCAAATCAAGTCACTTAAGTGTACTGGGCCTTATTTCTCCATCTGCAAAACAGTGATATTGCTTAGCTCCTAATGAATGTTTGAGGTGTCTGAGATTCTGTGCTGGAAGGACTCACAAGTGCAACAATGTCTAATAACAGTAATGTTGAATTGCTACAGATGGTTGGTGGTGACTGCAGTATGTGAACAGTCAAAAGGAACTTCATGATATGAGTATACTTCAGTATATGCAACCAGGTATTTGGTATATGATCACAGAATGGTGTTCAGGTTACCATAGTGAGGAGAACCATTACAATTAGGGACCTACTGAAATCAAGGAGGCAGGAAGCTGATTTCATGGCTTGATCACAGGGCCAGCTGCCATTTTCACGGTCTTATTGTAGCGGGCTCCCCCACCAGCCTTGGATTGGCCAAGGGGCCCAGTGGCTCCACCCCATGTTGCTGATTAGCTAAGAGGGCTGTCCATCATGTGTCCCCATCCCTCACTACTGATTGGTGGAGAGGGACACGGCCATGCAATGGGCAGCCCTCTCAGCCAATCAGCAGTGAGGGGCAGGACAGCCATCATCTTAGCTGCTCTCCTTTGAACTGGCACCTTTCCTCCCACCCCAGTGGGCTGCAAGGCCCCACCACAGCAGCCAGGAAGACCACTGGCTCCCACTTGGGTGCCAACACTTTATTTTTAGTAATTTCTTTTTTTCGTGGATTTGGCAGAAAATGCCCAATTCCAATTTCTGCCAAATCCGTGAAATTGCTAATTGAGTAGATCCCTAATTATAAGTACCTAGAAGGATGGACTCACTGATCATTTCAAAAGTGTGACACCTTCCCCAAAACCTCCAACCAACATATTCACGCAGAAAACAGATTACTCCTCTCTATCAGTGGTGCAACTAAGTGGGGAGTGGTGGAGAGTAATGGGCAACTACTTCTGGTGACAACTTTAGGGAGGAGATGCAAAAAAAAAAAGTGTCTGTTCATGGGTATGATCATGAACCAGAAGTAGCTGCTTCTGCTTTGCCCCAGCTGCTCAGCTGTGTCCCTAGACTGCTGCTCTCTATTATAAAGACTTCAAGAAGATGACTTCCAGTTATCTAAAGAAAACATGCAGAATGGCATGAAGTGGAAACACAGGTCAAGCACTCTACATAGTACAAACTTCCCACAGTCCCTACATGCAAAATTGGGATTTAGCTGGCTATTAAAAAGAAAGCCAAAGGAAAAAGCAACAGAAAAGGTAGCTGTTAGCTAAGTAACCACAAGGAAAGAACAGCAGGACATAAGTAAAGAGCTTAGGACTTTATAAAACACAAAAGAAGTCCTTACAACCAGGATATGAAGAGAAAGCAATGAATGGTTTAGAGGCAGCACACAGAAACAGAGAACTTTGCAAAGAGAAAAAAGTGTGATCCAAAACCTACCTGAAAAAAAAGGCATGTGGATCAGAGAAAAGGAAATCCAAAACATATTTAGACTAGCTGGCTTTTCTAATCACCAATAGGTTTGGCTACTTTTACTTTACTCAAATAACACAAGATGCTATTGCATCCAGCCAAGTGTTTTATTCTATAGATCAAGGATCAGCAACCTATGGTTGGATTTGGCCAGCCAAGCAATTTCAAAGCCTAGATATCGGCAGTATTTTGGCAGTAGGGGGAATTCTGCAGTTTGGAGAGAGCCAACTAGCACACAACTTGATGGCAACTTGATACCAGGGAAAAGCACTGGCCCACCTTGGACCAAGCTGCACTAATTTTGGCCTGCTGCTCTGGAAAGGTTGCTGTCCCCTGCTGCACAGTGTTTTTGTTTAAGGAGAAGGTTTCCTTCACTTACAGGCTAAGGCACAACACACAAAGCTATATAGTTTATATAGGCATACAGAAATGTATTTCAATTAAAAATACAACACTACAGCAAATCTGGATGTATGTGTGTATAATGCTGAAATGTAATAAACAGAAAGGTTTTTTTGAGGAGGTAAGTGCCTAAGAAGAATTATAAATAAATTTAGGTCTTACAACACAGATTTTACATTGATTAAGTAAAATAGTTTAAGTTATTTAAATCCACAGGTAAAAACAAACTGGTTATAGAGAACTGATTTAGCTTCTGTCATGTATATCAAACAACACAATTGGTTATGGAATTAAGTTAAACTGATATATGCCCAAATCCAATGTCCATCTTGAGGCCAGTTGGCTCACTGGGCTAATGTGATTAAGGTAGGGTTTGGATGATAGGGTAGGATAACAGGGTTTACAGGCAAGGACATGCAAGGCAACAGAGCAGTCAGAATCACATCTGACTATCTTTTGTTCCTCAATTTTGATGATGAGGTAGGTCACCAGGGGGCTGATTTCATAGAAATGGCTTAACCATTCTGCCACCATGCTTTCAAAAATGGCATAAGATAGTTGTTAGCTGGTTTATGTATGACTGCAAAAAGATGTTGCCTTTGGGCTGCCGTAAGAATTTTTATGGTGGTACAAAGTGCAAGCCAAGAGATGTCCATGCCTTCTGTTGTGCGACAAATGCCCAAACGTGGGGCCTTCACAAAAGGTAGCATTAATTTGTGCTGCTATTTTACAACAGACATCTGTTTGTTTTAAGGTAGCAGAGTGCAGGCAGCCTGGAGCTGCCCATGCTCTGCAGCCACTCCAGGCAGGCACTCCCAGGGTTTCAGGGACTAATCCCTGCAGGGAAGTTCTTGGGGAATGCAGGTTAGGACCCCTCAAACCCGGGGAGTGCCTGGCTGGGCTGCTCTATTTGCAGAGATGCACCCAGACTTGGAGTCCCTGGGCATGCCTCTGTAAGTACGGAACCCCATTTCCATGCTTGCAGAGGTGTAGCTAGTAGTTCCGATTTGCGGCACTCTTCTGCACATGGGAAAACCTGGGAGGGGCAGAGGCCCAAACTTATGGGACAATGGAAGATGTCCTTTTTGCCCAGTTAAGCAGAACAGCAGTCCAGGGACACATCCTAGCATAGCTGAACTGCTTCATTTGGCGATGTCTGTTTATAGCCTATGTCAAGAAAGGGATTTCAACTGGCTTAACTAAATCAATTTAAAAACTGGTTTCAGTTAAATCAGTGCAGTAGTGTGTAAGCAAAGCCTTAGTCTGGAAATCTTCACCACTTATGAGCATGTCTTCTGCTGCCCCTTCCCCCTTGCTCCATTCCCTTTCTCCCTACATGGAAAAACATGGAAAACCAATTGAGTCTGCAAGGTACCTATGAGGAAAACCCCTTAAATGCTGCAATTTAGAGACTCTGCTCAAAATTAACGGGAATAAAGCCTAAAGCTTATCAAACTGACTCCTGACAACAGACGCTTCCAGAACAAAAGAAATCAAGTGGGAGGGATTACTAAATAAAATGTAATACTTCCCACACAAAGTCACCACCATAAAACTAATACAGGTACTCCTCACTTAACATCTTCCCGGTTAATGTTGTTACGTTATTACGTTGCTGATCTATTAGAGAACATACTTGTTTAAAGTCGCACAATGTTCGGTTATAATGTTGTTTGGCCACCATCTGCTAGTAGGCAACTATTGCGACGTAACTAGATCCGCTTAACAGTTTCACTTAAAGTTGCATTTTTCAAAAAAATAACTATGACATTAAGCGAGGAGTAGCTGCATACAATTCAAACAATAACTTTCCTAAGTAAAAACAAACAAATACTTGAAACAGAGAACCCACTGGTCTTTTGAAGGGTTTGAACTCAAATGAGATTTTCTTTTCAATAACAAACATTTACTCGAAGTCAGGGTATTTGACATCTCAAAATTAAATAGTTTAAAAGACTATGTAATGATCGCTATTTTGTTTAATTAAATGTTTTAAAAAGATCAAAGAACAGCTCTGATTCATTACAGTGGAGTCAAGCTTATGAATTCCATTCTACTACACAGCAAACTGGAGCTATTCCTTTTTGCAATTACCAGCCAATTTATGTCTTTGGAATGCCTCTGTTTATTCAAGCCAAGGTGAGTGGCCAAAAGACAAAGAAACTGGAGAATACTTCAACAACTCTTTTCTCAGCAAAGATATAATGAAATTACAGCAACATTTAGGAAGAGACAGATTTGTAAATTCTAGTTTGCTTGTTTTTCAAAGGATAAGTATGATTTAATACAAATCAACACCATGTCTTGCAGTGAATGTTTAAATGTTAAATGAAAACCACCTAAAAGCAAATAAGCGTAAAAATACATGTGACCAAGCTCTCAGCGAAGCTTCATGAATTTCTCTCAGAAATCTTTCCAATTATGCTACTGCTACAGACTGATAAGTAGGGGGGAAACAGATGTCAGAAGCTAAGATTAACAGGTTATTATTACAGCTGAAATGGATTTGTGATGAATCTGTGTTTGAAAGTATGCATTCACCCCTCCAGGACAGATTACCTTGAGTGCAGGCAGGCTGAAGCCATCTGTGAGGTTGTGTGCCTCCTCTTCAGACACCTGCTCTTCACTCAGTCCAAGACCCAGCTCTTTAAAAGGAACTACACAGATGTAGTTGGTCACATTGTCAGTCTCTGAGTTTAGAGGGTAGGTTTAGTCAGAGTTAAGGCCATTAACAAAGAAATCTTTGTATTAAATGGGAGAAAACACAAAGGAGAGTAGCTTACCGTTACACTACAGGCTTTTGTTTATGGCAATCATTTGAGACTATGTGCAGTCCCAATTTAAATTAAACTGAGTGTAGCAAAAATCATACTTGAAATATAGATTTTAATGCCCTACACTGAGAACACTACAAGCTACAAACTGCAATGCAATAACAAAAAAGAAATTAATGAGTTAATAAATAATCCCTGAATTAAGTGAGGAAACTGCTGCTGAATCTTTAAATAGTTAATTCAGAATAAACTGCCATGACAGACAGAAAAGAAAAAAAAAGAAAAATTTAATCCAGTGATGGTCTAAAACAGAGCAATGTTGTCAGGGAGAGGACAACATTTTGGTTAATACAAGTTGCAGTTTGTGCATATTGCAGGGTAAATCTGAATAACCAGGGTAAGTAGATTCCCTATTATGTATGCATGCGTGTGTTTGTAGGATTAAACAATATTAAATTCCACACTTGCTGGTTTTCAAGGTTTTTTAATATTTCTTAACATGCATAACAGAAAATCTCTAATCCTCAAAATCAAACTTTCAAAACTTTAACATCGTATGTAGTAAGATTTCATGTTAATTAAAATTTGTTGTAATGAATTGTGTGCAAGTAATGTACTAAAATACGAACTACCGTAAGACCTATCACTATAGTACCTATGATATACTTTCAAACTTTTCATCAAAATAAATGAACAAAACACATTTTGTGAAAGAGTATCTTTACTTCATGCTGTTCATTTACACAATAATTTAGAAGTGTTCTCCTGATTAGCTCATTTTCCCAGTTACCTATATTTTTTGGGCCCTGATACTGAAAATGCTTAAGCATATTTTTAACTTCAGCCATATGAGCAGTGCCTGTGTAAAAGTTGTATGAATGGGACTACTTACAAGAAAAAAAGTGCACAGCAAAATGTTTTGGTAGCTGAGGCCTTAAGGAGTAACCCAAAATTCACTGAAATCAATGGAAATCTTTCTATTGACTTCACTGAGCTTCAGAATTAGGTCTACTGTAAATTTCTCCAACCAAACTTCAGCTCTTTAGATGACCTGTTTGAAAAGGAATTACTCAATTTTCAGCTCATAAACAAAGACACTTAATTTAATGTGAATATATAGAAGATTTTTAAAGTAAAAAATTAGAGTGTTAGAGAACACAATGAAACCTTTGGTAGGGTCAACTATATTGTAATCTGGAGTAAATAACTTTTTTCATATACCAATTACTTCATTAACATATGACATTTAGAAACAGGTAGAAAACTGGCTTAAGCTTTGCTAGAATATAAACAGATAAACAATGACACAAGCAAGATCATATTAATGTAACACTTCAGCTCTAAACTTTTCCATATCATAACTCCAATATGGAAATAGCCTCCTGTTGTGCTACATGCTGCAAACTTCAATATTATCAAAACAACACATAGATGTTAGAGTAGTACATCAGAGCAAAGCAATATTATTATGGTTGACACTAGAGAATCTTATTTTTAAGTAAATTTAGCACTTATTGCTGAGGCTGAAGTATTTTTAGAGATGGAATAAACACCCTATCCACATAAAATTTGTATATAAATTTGTACAGAAATATGGGAAACTTGACTGCGTTCAAATTCCATTCTACACAAAGCTTAGCTCGATGCTGTCCTTGTCACCACAGCATCTTCCAGTAGTGTTTTAAGGCTATCTCTACATAGCAAAATGCAGTGCTCTACTGAGATGCCCAAGTTAGCTCTGGACAAGCTAGTCCAGGTACCAGAAGCAGTATAGGTGTTTAGCACAGCACTTCCACCTAGACTTGTGATACTGAGAAGCAAAGTACATTAGCTTAGGACAAGAATCATGCTAATGCAGCAATATAACTTCCCATACCCACACTAGAACTAGCTGGGGTTTCTCAGTGGACATATCCCAGACAACAAGGCAACATATGTCACTGCCAAAATATGGGGCACAGTGATGTGCGTTGGTGGTGGAGGGTGAAAAATAGCTGTAATAACCCCTGCTGTCGCTACATCCAAATCCAGCCTGGGGGGAGCAGTGGTAGACAATGATGCCTAACTGGAAGTGTCAACTACTGTTTATACCACAGAGGATTTTTTAAACGCTTTGATGATAGGATCAAAGACCTTAAAACTCAATATTTATGAAAATGCAAAAACAGGGGACACAGACCATTAAAAAAAAAAAAAAATTGAGGGGAGAGGTATTGTGTCGCTGGCAGCACCTAAAGGAGCTCTACAACAAGAAGTGAGTGTGGGAAGGGGCTGATGTAGGGCACTGGTGGGGGGCGGCTGGAGGAGTGGGGGAGGGATGACGAGTGCCAGCTGCCACCCTCCTCCCGAGCCCCAAACATGCGCACACAGTAGGAGGGAGCAAGCGCTGCTTTCCACTGCGGGGGGACATTATAAGGGTGGGTTCACCTTGAGTGCACTGGGGAATGGGGTCACAGACCTTGTGACACCTCTGAATGAGGGCAGGGGTGGGAGATGACACATGGGCACTGTGTTAAGGGGAATCTGGGACAAATGGTGTCCCAGAGTCATTTGGCCCACGACCAGGACTTGATGTTTACATTTTGGGACTATCCCACCCAATTAGAGACAGGTGGTCACCCTACTACAGAGGATGAAGGAGAGGTGACATCTTACGATATTTCTGAGCAGGCAAGCAACAGCTATCTGGATAATTGGAGTTCCCTAATGGCTGATGGCTCTGTGCCCAGGTATACTGCCTTTCCATAATCCAGATGAAAGGTGATGGAGTCATGTTTAACTGGGGCCCAGGTTATAAGCTAACAGGGATATTGGCTATAGTCCTAGCCAATTTGACATAACAGAAAAAGTGTTACTCATGCTAAGCAAGAACTTTATCAGGAATCCAGAAGCACCCCTAACTGACAGACTGAACTAACTTCCTGGGTTTGTACCTTCTTTTGAAAAAAAAAAAAAGGTGATGTCACAGCTGAGATGATCCAGGAATTATGCAAGAGGCAAGGATTACTTTGGGTGATATCTGTTATTGGATAACAGTCATCAGGTACTTTTGGTAGTAGGTTTGGGGCTGCTGCATGGTAGTCAGCCCAATAAAACTGATCACCCAAAGAAAGCTATGTTTCTCATTTAAAAAAAGAAAAAAGATATTTTGGCTGCAAACTCTTCAAAATGACTTCTTCCATCCACTAGCATTAACTTCTACCTTGCTTGCATTCATCTTCAACCAGCTATCTTTTTCATTCATGAGATCTTACCAAAAACCTTGGGCAGTCTTGCTGGTAGAGGTATGGTTGTACATGCTTAAGGAAGTCTAAAAGCTGGCTGTCATCAACTAAAATCTTTTTCTTCTTCTCACCATCTACCCAAACCCAGAAAAATGCGTATTTTGGTTTATGTATAGTTCGGATAACTGCCATTACCAAGAGCTGTAGCCACTTTAGGTGCATTCTAGCTGTTGTTTTTTTCCCCCTCGCACTCTCCTTTCAACACATCACCAGTTTCAGATTCCCTTGCCTTCCTTTTCCAGTACCTCAGTTCCTTCTAACACAGTTCCAAGGCCTCCTGTATTAGGTTTGGTGCTATCAAATCAGTCCCAAAGCACAGATTCTACTTTATCGTGTACTGGTGATTTGCATAGGACAGTGATTTGCATTTTTCCTATAGAATAATAAAAACATTTTCTCTCTGTTCAATTACATTTTGTCTAGTTAATCCCATATCAGCTTTTACAATATAGTTTACTACATAAACTGAAACTAGACAAAGAAAGCCAAGGATCAATTAATCAAATAGTGCAAAGATTGAGAAGTACATGGAAAGATATTATCTCTTGTAAGCAGACAGGTATCATGTCTCACATTTGTAGTTTGGTGATGATTTCATATGCCTTTCTGTCGTTTTAAATTAATAAGCACAATTTACTTTTTTGAGGTATATTTATTTAACATGTTTCTTGTCTTTAATGGCTGTATCAGCTATATTACAATCACTCATGCAGCAATATACCTACGAGAAAGAAAACTGATCTGGTAAGAATGGCATTTCCTTATTCATTGTGCATGCTCACGTTTTCAAGTGCGAGAGCACAGGTAAGGAGTTTGAACAGTGACCGCCATAATTTTATGCATATTTACCAACAACTAAGAATTGACAAAAAGATATGTGATGCATATTGCAGTGTATTGCCACATTATGATTGGAGATTACCAGCTTCAGAATGTTTTTTTCTCCCTTTTCCATTTATTAGAATTTTACGGGGAAAAATGGTAATGCAAATAATAGGAATCTACAGCACTCCTATTCACCAGCTCCATTTTACATTTTGTGATAACTAAAAATATTGTATTTGTTGTATCCCCAATGTCTGCCACTCTGAAGGCTCAGACAGAAGTTATATTTGTCGCACAATCAGCCCCTTAAAAACGCTCTTCAGCTGTCCCCTTACAGAAAAATACAGCTGAAGAGCACTTCAAAAGGGCCCAATCCTGCATGTAATTAGGATTCAGATGAAGGCACTCCAAAGTGAATGCCTTCATTAACTTGTTTTCATGTGTGCTGGGAGCAGGGCTAGGTTGACACAGGTTGGCCCTGCTCCCAGTGCTGTCTTTGGAATGCGAGGAGGGAAAAGGAGTGGAGGGAGATCAAACTGAGGTTTTTTTAGCGGGCACTGGAGGGTGCAGCAGGTGAATTGGAGCCTCCCTGAGGTGGCAGACTTGCAGCCACTCCAAACTGCAGCTGGATCCCCCAACCCCCAGGACCCAACAGTGAACTTCAGTTGTGTCTGAGGGATCACTGTAATTCATGGTGTTTCCTGAAAAGCACCATGAGTTACAGTGAGGAGCTACACTTCTGTCTGTGTCCTGTGTTTCAATATTCTGAGAGTTTTAAAGCAGAGGGCTTGAACTTCATCAGTCTTTAATGAATGCTTGCTTTT